AAAGCACGCGGTTGACACCAGGTGAGGCTAGCAGTATGTCTGCAAACGAGAGACACTTTGCCCGTTCCGTCCAACATCGAGATCTTGAGAGTTCAGGTTATGGGCGATGGATGGGAGAAAATGGGGCCCACGACGTTCAAGGTGCCACACTCACCGCAAGCTATTGAAGGCGTCGGCCAAAACTCAATTGCGGTACGAGAAAATCATCAGTGGATAGGCTCCATCGTTCGTCAGTAGCGCTTCCTATCGTGCCATATCGTGCCATTGTGTCTGCCATGTCTCAGTCTCTAAGCGCAGAGTTCGAGATCTACGATTCTTGAACACGCGAGGTCAGAACGGTGCACAAGATTGTCGAGTGATCAACGTGCACCACAGAGCTGCAAGCAAACCGATGGGGCGATGATGGCTTCACTCTGGAGCTCATAGCGAAAAAAGTGTCGTCCCAAGATATCGCGATCTGTCTGCCAGCCTCATTCACTAGGCGCTCCAAGATATGAGGGTCAAAGCACGCTTACACATAGGTACGGCATCACAAGATGGGGATATCAAGCACCAGCTCCAGCTTTCGAACGTTGACTGCCTCACCATACGAGTATCTGGAGACCTTCTCTGCGTCTACCTAAACCCTCGAGCGTTTCTGAACCCTACTTGCCTATGCACAGCCCCCTCTGACAGCCGCCGTCTGATGTTTTCCAACAGCGCCATGAGGTCAAGAACCCGAGCCGCCTCCGAGCCCGGTGTCAGCCATTCCCGCAGCGACCCCTCAAGGGCTGACCAATGGGAAGCCACAAAGATGGGCATCCCGAGGGTAAGGTATCGTATGGCATTGACCAAGAATCGAAGCCGGCCGGAATGAGAAGCTGAAAAGGCCGCCTTGACGATCATACTGCTGTGGCTTGCGTGGCTGGGGGCGGGAAAGCCTCAAAGAAATGGAGTTGGACAGGGCGGTGGCTTGAACCACAGAGCTACACACGGTTTGATGGTTTTTGATATTGGGGAGCACGGCAGTTCATCATCTGCCACAGAACGCCCCTCCCACCAGTGCCACGTTACCGATATTTCACTGAAGACGGCATATGGGTAGAGAAGGCCCGTATCGGCGAGTATCTAACCTCTTCCAAACATAGCCTCATGATGGAAGACCACACACCCCCCGCCGGCCCGCCCGCTGTCCACGTCGCTTGCCATTGTCAATAGTCTCGTATCCGTGCCCCGAGCTAAGACGTTTCGTGGATCACGGGAAAGGGCCCCATCACCGAAGAAAATAACCCGACAGGGTCCCCTTTTTCTCTCTGTTTTCAAGTCACGGCCGGCTCGACACCACTAAGCGAAGAACGGCGCACGGTGCCGCCTCGTCCTGTCTTAGTCTTTACCAAGCCTTGCTCATCGCACTAGACTAGGTTGGTTGGCACGGTTGTCTGTCGGCTTCTTGGGGTGGGGGGCACGACGACTGGACGCCTTCTCTGGCACCTTGGGCGTCTTGGGAAAAGGGACCGGGAGCAGTCGGTTTCTCTCTAGCGGGCGTCAAATGATCCAAGCGCTTCCGCGCCGCCTGGCGGGCGGCTTTTTTGTGAGCGGGCCCCCGCCATGAGAGACGGCGTCGAAGGAGTTTCTTCTCCACTCCGCGGTACCCACTCCGTGCGGCCGAAGAGGGCGGAGCCACACCCAAATGGCTGGGAAGAGATAAGGGATGGTGTTGATGATGTGGCTCAAGCAACGCCGCCGTTTGCGGTCACACAGGATCCTGCCGTGCTGGTATACACACCAGTCGTCAAAAGGTGTGAAGGCCACGGAGGTCTGGGCCTCCCTTCATAGACACACGAGACAGAGAATCGCTTGCTATGGGCGGGGGGAGGGGACGCTAGCTTCGGTTCCGTGTGTGTGTCACTGGCTGCGGCGCCAAGAAATGAAGGTGCTTTGGCATCGGGCGTCATCAAGATGATTCGGGGACGGGGGACCATGGGAGGGAGCACGGAGACAACAGCGGAGGAGCCTGGAAGGTATCTCAATGCTTGCAAAAGATGGTATAGCACGATGGGTGGTAACATATTGGCACTCGTATGAGCTGTTACGTTGTTAGAGAAGGCAATTATGGGACTATAGTAGGCAGCGTGGTTGCTTAAGATCGACCACGAGTTTGCTTTGTAAGTGCCGTCTGGTGTTTTTGCGAGGCGGACAAATCATTCCTGGCACACCATCTCAACGTGATGCGACAGTCGGCTGGAGCAAGTGCCCGGAGCCGCAAGGTGAGCAGTGCACTTACACACTTCTGGGAGACTTTCCTCCCCTCTTTACGCAAGGGGAAAGGCAAAGCTTGGGATGGACTTGGATAGACCTTGATGTGCATGGCCGGTCTCATGAACTATGGAGAGGATGACGATTTTCGTTCCCATCCGCTTGGATGTGGCTTGAGAAGAGGACCCCTATGCCCTGCCAATATGTCGTACGGGCTGTGAATGAGAGGCGACGTTGGCGCGGACCGGGGGGAGAGAGGGAGGGATTCACACAAATCTCCATACCATGACGCCAGACGCCGCAGAGGCCACGAGTCTGAGAGCCTCATTTGAGTCATCAAGCAGCAGTAATTCCACAACTATGGCCGAGAACCAAGCCGTTGGTAAACAGCGGAATCCTGCACGCGCACGGGGTCTTGCGTGTTGACGACAGGTCGTCATCTGCCATCAAGGGCCGTGATTGACTTTCAGGAACCATCACGGTCGACGTGAACTCTGGCACGATTGTATTGAATGGCAGGGTCACTTTTTCCCGTGCGCGCGTCGAGGAGAAGAGTTTGGGCCGCCATGACTCGTCTCGTCATGGTGCGCTTCTTGCGCTTCGCTAGGACCACGCCGTGACGGCGTGGTCATATCCGACGATTTGTGTGCCACGGAGTGAGGGTATCCAAACTCTGTGCTCTCTTGGCTAGGAGTGAGTAGGTGGTGAGATGGAATTATGAGATGGCTTGAGTTGTAGATGGTGGCAGATACTTTTGCTTTCTTGCAAGCACGCGTTCGTCGCGGAAGGCGCCGAAGTCGCGTGTTTGTAGATTTGGGAGGGTGATGGTGTTTGGCTTGGCATGGTCTTGAGCGCAAGCAACGGGAAGGTTTACACTCTTGCTATGAAAGGCATGTTGATGGCATGTTATTGTTGCTTTCCCCCCTTTGGCCGCGATCCCTTGATGGGTGTTCGCATCGTTGCGTCCTGGCCTTCTCGCGGCATGAGAAACGCGTGATGGTAACACTAGCGGCGTCTAGGTAAGGTGAGAGAAGTCGAGAACATGTCATGGGCCCCGAAAGTTTGCGGGGAGAGGAAACGATCGTGATGGGGTCAAGATGGTTCGGCGATGGTATCGTTTTGTTTGGTAAAAGACTGACTCGTTCGCCCGCTGCCGGTTCGTGAGATCTATCTAGGTTCCTGATCGCGGCGCAGCCAGAGACGGCGTTGCGAAGCGTCGCAACAGACCTCGTGGCATAGCATCCCGCTTCACCCGCTTCATCCGTTTGCAGCGGCCGGAAAAAAGGCTACAACATGGGTGATGGAACCTCAGCCTGCGGGCGTCTTTGTCAGCGTGGCAGCAAGCGCACTCTGAAAGTTTGGCTTTCTGGTTTGGGTGTAGGTAGGGAAGATGGCCGATGAGAAACATCGTTTTCGGAAAACCGAGAAGGAAAAATTGCTATGGCGGTGATGGTGGCTTACCTGAACCTCCTCCCGCGTCCGTAAATTCCACCACCATCCAGGTCTTTTACGGCCGGACGGAGACGGGTAAGCTTTTCAGTGGGAACTGGGTCTCTCCATACCGATGTCAAAAGGCTTGCGGCCTACGGCGTTGCTCCGTGCTCTTTCGGCACGATGGCCGGCGTTCGGTCGGGAGTTTCGTGTGAAACGTGACCGTTGAGGGTAGGGACTCCCGTTCTCTGTAGAATCTTCTTTGAACTTTGAGGTCATCGTCCAGGAACAACCTCGGACGATAGTCAGGGCTGGCTGTCCTCGTGATGAGCTTTCAGAGACTTCAGTCCACTAGTCCGAAATAGGAGAATCTCGGGAGGGAGAGAAAGACAGAATATGGGGACTCCGCGGGATAAGGTTGAGTTTTCTCTTCCCACACTGGAGATAGCTTCCGTAGTGTTGAGACATTGACAGCTTGCCGGGGATCCATTTTGAGTTATCATGCGCTTCTTCTAGAACAGGGTCCGGTAGCAAGACCCGGCGAGGTCAAGGATAGACACCTTTGAGTTGCGAGGATGAATTCTGGGGGACAGGCTGGTTCGAAACATCCTGTCGTGATCTGCCTCTTACAATGATATCTTTGTCTCTGAAATAGACAGGGCTTGGTCGTGAGGTTTGTCGGGAGCTTCGGTGTTTCTGCGACGCACGGGAACCATAACTGATACTCCTTTGCGACTCCTTCCGGCGACCATGGGATGAATCTCTTACCCGTCTCATTGATTTCTTATTCGTTTTGAGATGAGGATGAACCCAAGGTCTGGACGAAGCAGAACAGATGGACCAAAAAGGTTTGTCTTGTCGTTATTCACATACCATTCGATCATTCGATCTATCGCCGCGGACTTCGGAAGTGTCAGAAGAGACCAAAAAGGGAGTTGCGATGTCGGGTTCTCGACTTTCGTAGGGCTGGCCGCATTGATGCCATCTTTCAGCAAACATGAAACCATTTCCATGACGATTTCAGAACCATGAGCTTAAGTCAATCAAGCATTTCTTGGAAAAGGCGAAGAAAGGCATTCATGAAAGAAATAACATGGGAAACCTAATTATTTGTACCACGACAGACACGTAGCAACATCTGCGAGTAAGCCTTCTCATCAAACCTCCAAATTCTTTTCTTACTTCCCTACGGACATTCTCTTTCTCTCGGATCCGGATTGCCAGGCACAGGTTCTTTGCTTCCACCGTGCGCGGTCGCACAACCTTATCTTCTTCCATCTCGTCTATTCAAAACTCTGGCCTTATGCCCTTGACGAGGCTGTCGTCTAGTCACTCGGCTTTATCTGACCCCCAGGCACCGGGGACTGGGTGACAATGGGCCCACCCGGGACCGGCTTGTCCGGAACGAGAGGCCCGCCGGGGATGGGTTTGCCTGGGATAATGGGACCGACAATGACATCCTCGTTGCAGGCTTTGAGCGCCGCGATGATGGCTTGCTCGAGGTTCCAAATTTCAAAAGGCGGGATGTTGCCGTAGATGAGAAGAAGACTCGTGAGAGTTGCACGGAGACCAATGACATCGGACGGCTTGCAAGAGCCAATCTCGAAAATTTGACGCTTCGTGTTCGTGGTTGGGCTGAATATGATGGTTGCGTCGCCCAAGGTGATGGTGTCTACTTGCACTCCCTTGCTCGCGAGAATATCGGCCATGTGTAGAAGAACCATGTAAGTTCCGAAAGAGGGTTTGGTCCCCTGGGTGATGGGTTCCAGGAGAGTCAAGTATGTTTCTTTGAGGGTATCGAGATCTTCCGTGCGCTCAGCCAAAGCTTGCATTGGACTCATAGAAGAGTCTAGTTTTTTCTGAGGTCATTAAATGTGGTCACTGGAAACAGTTGTGAGCTCAGTACGTACCAGATGAAGACAATTCGCGCTCGTGGATAGGGTTGTTAAGCTGTATAGTAAGTTAGGCAAATTTACACTGGCATCAGGGGTACCTCGACTGGAACAGGATCAAGAGCAGAGAGTAGTAGGAAAGCGGCTTTTCTTACATCACGCTTACCAGGCTTGACCTCTGGGCTGTTGATAGGAGGAAGCAAGATGGGCCCAACTGGGTTGGGTGAGATGACACCTCCACCGGGAACGAGAATCGTAGAGCCATCTCCTATTGTGAATTGAGGCGCGGCGTTACTCAAGGCCAAGAGGCCAAGTAAGATTATGGCGTGAGGCGCCATGATGAGCACTGGTAAGGTTGCTCAGACATGATCCATCATGTCAATGCGACAAGTAGTTTACTAGGAGCAGCAAACAGGTGGTAGTGGTATTTTATAGGTAAAAATGTTCCATGGAAGGCGAATCAAGAAGGGTCTCCTTACGGTTCACGGCGTAAGTATATGTAAAGAAGCTAGCCTATGTCTCAAATATGCGCATGTTATCAATGAAGTTGCAAGTGCTATTTATCCAAATACAACTTGAATAATCCAGATTTGGGTACACGCTTTTGAGCCATATTAGCCGAGTATTATAAATTGTCAGATCACGGGTAAGTTCAATGCCTGAATTACGGCTGAACCATCCTCTTTCAAGGAACCTCACTTTGGGATCCCGGAGACATATATCCGCGAGCAACTAAATTATGGATAGTTGGGCGATGAAGCCTCGAATGTTGGCGGTAATCGTATACGTAAAATAATAATCATTGATGCACCAGGGACGTGATCCTTCTTGATCAAGAAGAACGTGAAAAAGAAACGTCGCTTCCCATCACACGACAAGGCCAGGTGTGATGAACATCCAGTCTCGCCAATAGCTCCATCCTGAATCAAAGTGAGAACAAGTTAAATAAAAGAGCCCATTGGTCCAATCCCTGGCGGAGCATCGCCTCCCAAGATGGCGTCGATGGCGTTAAGATCGCCGGGGTCGAAGAACTCGAAAACATCGAAACCTGCAGGTCCCTCGAAGAGTGAAGGGTCGAACACTGGCATGGGCTCACTGTTTGGCGGGCAGCTCCCGTCATCAATATTGCTGATACCTGTAGCAGGTGCGATATGTGGTGCCGCTTGGTCCTGCCGAGGAGTGTTTGGCGCATTTGTTGAACCGGCCCCGTTTTGCTCATTCATGGCGTTGCTGCAGACTTGGTCTATCTCTTGGATCACTTGTTCGGCTAAATCGACCATGACTTGCGCAGACCTGAACATGCTGCTCAGTTCACGGAGTATCTTGCAGGTTGACTGGAGCTGTCGTCGGGATCTCGCTGTTAACATTGGTACTTTGGATGATCGTAGTTCTCGATAAGCGACCCGCAGGGATAGAGATACGGCGTATGGTACGAAAGTCATGTGCGAAAACGTTTTGCCAAAGTCCTCGATGATGATTGTGATCTTCATAGCAGAGAGAGCTTGCCGATTGAGCGCGAGTGAAAGGTGCTCAGATCTTGTTGAGCCAACAGGAATTCGACATGACAGTATGCCAATGCCATGGTAGAGAAGCTCCATGGAAGCTGTGAGACAATCAGTTTCAGCCGTAATCACCTTGTATTTGGATCAAACTTACCCAGGAGGCGAGATTCAACGCCGAGAGCCTGTGCCTTTTCGACGAGGCTATCAAAGCTTGGGAAATCCTCCATGGCAACGCAGCCCGTGTTCTTTGCTGCCGGACGATACAGATCGATTATACACCCGAGTAATACAACAATCTCAAGGAACAGTCGGAAGCAGCTGTCTTGCTCTCGAATACACTCCACCATGTCACGGCCTAGGTCTCTTTCGTGTATCATCACCGGCCGTCCGTGGAAAGCAGCGTTGAGTTGGTCCATGGCCCACACACAGCAGAACAGCCGGGTCAAATACGCCGGATCTTCAGACCTGGCCGGCGGATTTTGGAGGTGAAGCCCCACTGTCTGGGCGTTGCTGACGGCCTGTGCCGCCAGCTCGGCAGAAAGATGACGGTCTTGCGAGAAGTGGGTGTACAAGGAGAGAATCACCATGATGGCGACGGCTTGGACTCGGTCCTTGACCAGGCCGAGGGTGAGCGCTTTCCGGATGGCAGAGGAAAGGCGGAGGGCAAATTCTGAGTAGCTCAAGACGTCCGACGAGCCTTGCCCGAGTGTCAAGTAAGGTTTGGCACTCGGATTTGAGCCGGCGGCTAGGCATATGGCTTGTTTGCAGAGAACCTGGGATATCGTTGATGTTGGCGCCCGGAGTATGTCGAGGTTCATGACGGGTAGAATACGGTGAACATCTCGAATGTAGATCTTTTCGAGGTATTCATAATCCTCCTTTTTCGGTAACACAGCGAGAAACTGGTGTACTTCATAGTCTATCGAAACTGCCGATGCAAGTTCTGGTGTGAGGCTATCACCGTTGTTCTTACGAGAATACCAAACACCGACGGCGTTGGATTCGGCATGACCACGGCTGGTCGCTGGACTGTCGGCTAGGAATGCACCCTCTGGATTCAAGTCACCTACAAATCTGTCGTCGTTGTGGTTGGAGTCGGAATCTGTCGGTTTGGCCTTGGCTTTAGGACTTGAGATGTGAGTTGCTGAATCTGTCGCTGGATTTGCTGGGCTCTCAATAGGGATAACTGGTGTCCCAACTGAAGTGACTTGGCTATGGTCAGAAGGTCCTGTGTTGTTATCGTTGAGTTGTATGGGTCCTCCCCGAGGATCTGCGTGACCGAAACGACTTCGAGGCTGCTTAACTGGAAGCGTCGAGTTCTGGGCAGGAGGCTCCGAGTTTGCAACATGAATCGAGTCGGCTGTCTGATCATCATCGTCGGCATCATCATCGTCGTCGTCAACGATCTCTCTACAGGGACTAATTTCCGCCTCTACAGTTGGCCTATGCTGAAGAGACGGATCTATTGGCGTTGCAGCCGCATCATGCGGCGAACCATCCTCGGCGGAAGTGGCAGGCCCCGATGGGTGGCCCCGTTTCCTCCAGTGAACGCCGTGTGGAGGCGGAGACTCCCCTTCCCCTAGTGGATGAACACACCGTTTCTGTAAATCCGTCAACACTCTGTTCTTCAACCAGAAAGGGAAGGTATCGCGGCGAGACCGCACTCCGATTGGTCACCGATCCGGCATCCCGAACGGCACCCGGCAAGGAGCAAGGCCCAAGTCTGTCTCTCTTCCGACTTCACCTGTAGCGCAACGAGTAGAATGATTGACTCACTTTCCGTCTCCGACAAGTATCACACGCATGTAAAGCGATTTTACGCTTTTGAACGGGAACATTCGTGGTGTTGACGAACTTGAGCTTGAGCATTCTGTCGGCGTGAAGATGAAGACCTGGCAGGCTTGGGTTTGCGTGCCGGCGGCTCAGAACACACCGACTAGCGGGGCTGCCAGCATTGCGGCGATCGGAAAAGCCCAAAACGGAAAGGCCGATGACATACTTTTGAAGACCAGTACGTCTCCAAGACCAAACATATGTAAGGTAGGTTAGGTTCTTCAGAATAGATCAGGATTCCCTAAAGGCTACCCAAGTCCGATAAATGTCTTCACCCTAAACCAATTATCATTGAAGGTTTGTGATGGTGCAAGTATATTGCTAAGTGTTTGCTGAGCACGCGTTATTTCAGTGAGGTGTGCGATAGTTAAGGCCCCTAAAGCTACCTTGAAAATCACGCATACAATGACCAAATATCTCCCAAAAATTCATCAACGCTGATTCTTTACAAACACTGAGCCGTAATGTTAGCGTCCGTCTTCTATCATTCCCGAGAATGTTGGAATCACTTACGCAGCCCTCAAAACCGCCTTCGCCGCAAGGGGTATCCTCCGTTAACATGCAGTCTCCTCTCCAGGTATGTCGGTCTCCTCCTTCTGCTGCACTGCAGCAAAAGGTATTTCGTTCCTGGTCAACAATGATGGAAATTAATAAAGGCTCTTGCAGTCACACAATGTGCAGTGGGCCCATCCTACCGGGTAAAGCGCTTTGCAGCTCAGATGATTAGCCTGTTTTCCATAGTTGGTACACCACCACGCATTAGCCGAGCCCAGGAACAGGGCGCTGGCGGAGAGAAGAACAGCAGTGAGCTTCATGATGTGCAGCTGATGATGAGAATAGGTATGAAAAGACTTGCAAGAAATTTATGGTTTCTGTTAAATACTTTACTGATCAGCTTACCATAAGGTAAGGTAGGATAGAATTACAGACGCTCCGCTGTTGACGAGTTCGTATATAACTACTTCGTGTGTCGCATGGACTTTCCAGGCCATGTTTAAGTATTACTCGTGCTGCGCAATTAAGATAGAGAGGCATCTGTCGATCTACTCCTTGTCTAATCAAGAGGCCATACTGCATTACTCATGGCGTCCAACAAGCATCTCGCCTCTGTCTACACCCAATTTAGGTGTATCCTTTTACCAGGGTTGCACCGAGTCATATCTGACTAGCGAAGAATCAAATACAATGGATTTGACAAATGCAGATAACTTGTTGTTGTCAAGGCTCTTCCGGAAGGATGTCAATAAGAGCAAATTAGGAGGACACAGGCCAAAAAAAAGAAAAAAAAAAGAAAAAAAAAAGAGCAGCTCGGATACATAAAATCACGCAACCAGTACACATGGAAATATATAATCACGCAAGCAGTACATGCCTAATCAGGGGGGGATGTCAGTAAATCATCCTTTTGACACTCACAGCATTTAGCCTCTGGGGGCTTCCACCCTGCGTCACACGCCTACTGACAGTTGTCCTGAGTCAAAGTGAATACTTGATCATTCAATCTGAGTATGTCTTGAGGTACTGGGCATAGGGAATCAATCCTCTATCGAGTGGTATCTGGATGGAGGCCACTAACTACCTTAACGTTACCACGCGCTCAGAACTTCAAGTACTATGTTCGCGATCAAATAGGGAGAAATCATCCGTCTCTGTAAGGATTCTGAAATTGTCTTTAGTACCTCATGAGTGATCGCTTCCTCGTTTTCGGAAAAGACCCGTTGTGAAGGTCACAGGCAAGCGGAGACAAGGTCTTCGTAAGCGGCGAGTCCGTGAAGGTCCCACATAATAACCGAGAACACTCTATTTTACTTTCCTCTTCACCTACGGCTGCCCTGTTGATCTCTAATTGTCTCTTATGGAGGCTGGGTAGACTTGCCCAGTTTCGTTACAAAAGGCATGTCCTTTGATGAGATTGATAGATACACGGAAGAGATGGTAAAAGGAGACAGAACTTTGAAGGTCTTGTGGATGTAGATCAGTAATCCGATAAACATCAAGGCTAGACCGGCACTTTTGGCCCGGCGAGGCAGCCGGGTAACCGGCACCAAATGAATCAGTCGTAAATGGCGCTGCAATTTCTGTACGATCACGACCTCTACCTGTAAATGTCAAGAACAATAGCGTTACATAACAGTTCGGAACGTACGGCCCTAGTGACAATTTCTTACAAATTTGCGTCTGTGGCTACCAAGTATGCCGACTTTATGTAGTTCAAGTATTTCAGTCGCGCAATGAAGTTATTTTACGGGTCTTTTACTCTGCTGGAAAGAGGAAGCCCGTCAATCAAACACCTGGTCACATAGATACCCAAAGTAAGGTAGCTTCAACAATCTCAAGTCGCGGAATCATTTGTTATTTTGCAAATCTTGATATTGGATAGGTCGGACTCAATTCTCGGAGCGAGGTACATGTACTAGTAGGCATTCTGCATGATCATCTTTATCAAGTCCAGGTCTTCCCGAGCATCCACGGCCGAGGTCTTCGGGTTAGTCTTCTTTGTCACACAAGAGTGAAAGTCCAAGAACTCAAGCGTGAAGGGATCCTCATACGTTTTCCTGACAAGTCTCTCTTGGTAACCATCACCTTTCGCAGTCTCGATTTTCTCCCTGATGGTCATGGTAATAGGAAGCCCCTTAACGTACGGAGTATCGTAGTCAACGCGCACAATCTTCTCTCGCGAGTAGATTTCGATGTGAGCGTCAAACCTGGGTACGTCAATGATACCCGACTCGTACATGACGGGGAAGCCTTCGTATTGGAACAACACGTTCCAAATGGGCAGCCCGAGAGAGGCACCCACGACGCGCGAGGGCAGGCCGACCATCTCGCGCAAAGCAGAGAAGTCATGTACTCCGAGTCTATATATTAGACGTTAAGAATCAGCGAGAAGGAGTCTTTTACTTCTTGGGACAGTCCAGCCTGAGGATGTGACTCACCCTGTGAACAACCTGAACATCGTCATTGACTCTGGCGTTGCCTCAACCCCAATCTCATTGATGAGCGCTGTTTTAACCATCTCTTCCTCGGTGGACTTCATCTCTGCCGTATCTTTCTTCGGATAGTCGGTGTATTTCTTAGGAAATGTACCAGACTGATCTACGAAAGAGCTATTTTGCCCAATGATGTCTTTCTATTGTCAGTCTGGTCTCTCATTTTCAACATGTCGAGCAGTAGCATACCCCTAATACGAATGTAGTCAATCTTTTGCATCCCTCCCACTTCTTTCACAGCATCGAGGAAAGATTCGGCATATCGTCTCTGGTATCCTACAAAGACTTTCGCCTCCGAGGCCTCCTCCGCAGCGATGATGGCATCAAGGTCGCAATAGTTTAGTGCGAGCGGCTTCTCCACGAATACATACTTGTTGTGCTGAAGAGCCAAGATCGCTTGTGAGGGATGGAATGCGTTGACGTTGCAGATGACCACGACGTCCGTGTCAGGAGAGGTAATCAACTCTTCAGCATTCAACGTCGTTTTGGTTGACCCGCCAGCGACCTTTTTCGAACAGAGGTCAAGGGCTTGCTGAGAGACATCGGAGATGTAAGTGATCTCGAAATGAGTGGACAAACTGTTTAGCACAAGAATATGGGACACCTGTATTGGCAAAGTTTCAGTGTCTGTGTGAAAATGAGTTCGAAATGTAAGACAAACCTGCGCGAGCTCTCCCAAGCCAATGACTCCAACCTTGAGAATCTGGCCGAGTTTGTTCCCGTTTGTTACTCCGACCATCTTGAGAGGTGACGAAAGAGCCAGACTGAAGATTTACTGCAGGCGACCAGATCAAAACTTGATTGTCTGTGGCCTTCCCATCAAAAGGACAAGCCAAACATTCTCTCACATCATATAATCAATCCATATACCAGAAGTGCTTCCTTGATGGCAACGTTCAGGCCTAGCTCTCCTGATGGTTGTCGAGGACCTGGAGCCTCGCCCCAAGGTCCCGAAGGATTACGCGTCGCGGCCGCCATTATCCGAAGGATCAGAGAAAGATAAATCTACCTAGGATCCCGGACAAGCGGACCGTCTGATGCATTCACCAACATCTTCCCGAAAAAGGCCAATGCGGCGTGATGGACCAAAGATCTTTTCATCCTACGCGCGCTGGAAGCTGCATTGTGATGGCGCATACAGCTTTGTGGTACCTTGCATGGAGTCTTTGCACTTCTACCGGAACGGCAAGTGTTGCATATTACATCAGCTAAGCACCTTCAAATATGAAGAACTTCCATATCCGGTCAAATCCTACGACTGAGGGGCGCGCCACCATCTTGAAGCAGGCGGCCCGTCGTCTCCGGCCCCTGAGCCTGAGGCGTCCCGTCCGGAAAACGGGAAGGATCGCGGAGGATCGCGAAGGGTAAAGTCGAAACCATCAGCCTACATGGACTCTGAAGATACAGCCGAAAGGATTGGCGGGGCTTGCATGATTATTCGACTTTCCTTTTCCGCCACCGACCGCGGTCATTAGGCTAGATGGCCTGGCGAAGAATGTCCCTTCTCTAAGCACCTCACCTTAGTGTCGGCGAACGATCTCTTTTGTGTCAAACATACACGTTCTCAATATCTCTGAAGTCAACGAAAATGCCTCAAGCCTGGCGAATTTACCTGTACGGCGCTGGCTCAATTGCATGGCGACATGGCGTTGCGGCGGAAAGCCTGGGCGATGATGTTCAGCTTTTTGCCGCAGACCCCTCAAAACTTGCTCGAGAAGTTTTGCTCGCCAAATTCCCCAAATCTACAGTCTACGAAGATGCAGAGGAAATGCTCGCCAGTTCTCCAGGGCAAGAGCGCGACATAGTCGTGGTAGCCGTGCCTCCATTCCTGCACCACGCAGCAACACTACACGCGTTTCGATCCAATCGCCATGTTCTCTGCGAAAAGCCGCTGGCAACATCCGAGAAGGAGATGAATGAGATGCTAGCGGCCAGTGATGAGGCCAATCGAGTCTTTGGAGAGTGCAGCTTTCGGTATCTCGGAAACAAAGCTTTGGATCGCGCCCGCCATTTGATTGAGACGGGTGGGATAGGCTCCGTATATCATGCCCGCTTCATCAACCGCCAGCCCAGAGCCCGCGCTGGAATCGAGTATCAACCGTCGAGCAGATGGTTTCTGGAAAAGGAGAAGTCTGGTGGCGGCATTGTGTTTGACTGGGGCGTCTACGATGTCACCATGTTCTTCGATGTCCTCCGTCCTGTCGCTGCCACGGTCAACCATGCCTGGCTGGCCATGCCGACTACCGCTGCTGACCCGTCTGGGGTAGAAATTTCTGTCGAGACACACGCTGGTGCGTCTATGACTTTGAAGCTCCAGAACGGCACTGTGATCCCATTCTACTGGGAGCGAGCAAGCGGTTTCCATGGAGACGCCCAGGTCGCTTTGAATATCGACGGTACGGCTGGGGGTCTGACATGGGAATGGGTCCCGACTTTTGACTACAAGGACGAAGTCGACGAGCTAGAGCAAGGCTTCAAGCTGGCGCACTATGTCGACGACAATGGCAACGTCAAGGCTAGGGAGGAGAAGTTTCCTGCTTTCGGGTGGGAGGACGCAAATCAACGCCCCTTGCTCTCCTTTGTCGATTTAATTCAGGGACGCGACAGTGTTGCTCTATCGAGGAACAGGCTCGAGTTCAACTTTGGTGTCGTGTCGGCTATCTACAAGTGTGCCTCCGAAGGCAAACCCGTTCATGTTCAGTTGAAGTGAAGTAAATTCGTGGGGCCGGAAACATGAACGTGATACTCTTTCTGCTATATAAATCAATCGCGAGTACTAAGTTAATGATAGAAAAACGTTCTGCCTGACTTCGCGGCTGTAAGCGATGAGCCTTCACCGGCACAGCGTGTGGCATATTGCATTATTCCAGTGGGAAAACCAGCCAGGCACATATCACAAGACCCGGTGCAGAGAGAAAGATGTCTTCATGACAGGAGAGGGTCTGAGGCTCTATACATTGTTGCATCATTGAAGGGGAGGCATAAAATGCTAGTCTACTAGATGTGACTAGTCCTTGTACGTTGTTTGTTTTTCAGCAGTGTATTCCAAGCAGTATCTACATCGTCCGTGTGGAATGCTTGAACCTCCATGCGGATCTCGTGAAAACTCTCTTACAATCCGAAAACGGTGCGATTTCCCAAACCAAACGTGTAGGCTTAAAACCTCTCTCCAGACGTCTCTGGTACAGCCTTTTCGCTACCACCTGGAGTGATAGTCTGTGGAGTTCCCTCCTGGTTGATCTTTGACTTAGAAGTACGGAATCGGAACTTAGCCTCGTTCCATCTTTTTCCGAAGCCATAGCCAGGATGGAAGATAGTCAAGCACGAGCATGCTAGTATAATCATGGTTCCATCTAGAATCATGAATTCAACCTCTTGGTTGGCAAGCTTTCCACCAAAACCCTCGCTGAGCTCGACAGAACGGAAGACAGTTCGTATAAACAAGAAAGCTGTTGCGCCGAATAGCGCTTCATGATTTATCAGCTTCAGAGATTTGATTGATAGTGACTTCGGCCAGGAGACATACCGAACAAGAACAACTTGTATCTTTTGCTGTTGACCAGATCGGTGAATTCTGGATTTCGCATTTCTGGATTCTTCTTCACGCGCCAGAGAAATTCAAGGCTGCAGGCAGTGAATGCAAATAGGCAAGCAACCTGAATTGACAAGCCAGCGACAAGAATGTTTGTTCCCACATCGATCTGGAATCACCAAAATGTTAGCAACAGGGTTCAGAAGCAGTCGGAAGAATGCTGCCATGATAGAGGCGGGTCAAGAGCAAATGCGTACCATGTGCGGGTTATCCAAAGGCGTAGACGCAGCAATCCCTCCACCGACAGCCTGAACGACAAGACTGACAATATCGCATCCCAAGAAAAACGTCGTGTACGAACGAGGCTTGATTCGACTAATGGCCTCCCCGTTGATCACGACGATACGCCCGAGAGTCAGATAGATGGCTGCCGCAATGAAGACGGGACCGATCGTCAGAGTAATGAGGTACCACAAGAAGTAGTCTCTGCTGAAGGGGTTTCCATTTAAGAGGACCCTAGCGATGTATCCAACGGTCTCCGTCAACAAGCCAAGGCAGATAGCGATCATGAAGCCCCTCGTTTTGTGCTTTATGCCCAGAAAGATCTGACCGCATGCGAGAAGAGCCATAATCACCAGGAAGAGAACATTTCCGGCAACACTCGGTCGGTAGCGGACAAAGCCCCATTGTTCAACGGAGCATGTGTCCAGAGTGCAGACAAATCCTGGAATGTAGCCTTCGGGGGCCGACATTGTGAACCGAGCTTTGCAGAGATGTCGGACCTTTGGGAACCTTGGTGAAGATAGGTTACTTCGACCTGTAGGGAAAGTGGAGGACCCCTCGACTTGACGTATTTAAAGCTATCGACAAGTTAAGGGCTCAAGGACGTGCGAATCAGGACTGGCGATACCGGTGGATTGGTAAATTGGCCCAACACGTCTCTTGGCCCAACCCCATTGTTGGTCAACCCTTTACTTTGTTTGATAAACGATTGGATGACAGGTGAGACAAACATAACGGTTGAGGTTCCCTTGGTTCCGACCTCTAACCCAAGACTGTAGTAGGTGTATGCAAGTCGGCCCGAGACGCCTTGTGGATAATTGGGAAGTAAGATTGGTGGCGCGGGGTATTCTGGCTAAATCGAATCATCCCCATGGGGGTCAGCCAAGAAGCCCACGGATCTTCGTGCCGAAAAGCTTACCACCTTTATATAAGTAAGCTGTGCTGTGCCGCGTGGCTGCGGCGTCTAGCTAGCCGAGCCGCACACAACTTGGCGAAGGCTTCACAGACGCCGTATCGAGATTGTGTAGACGCAAGTCAAACATCCGTCACCCTATTGGGACCATACATCCTGCCATTTTGGCACAACACCACAAGAAAGGCGCAAGATGACAGATATCGGAATTTTCGGGAGCAAGCCACGGCGGCAAGACTTGCTATCACATCGAAGGATCCCCTGAATCCTTCAAAACATGCATCTCCCACCAGGCAACAGTCCGGTTTTCCCATTTTGGACTTATTATACGGCCTAGGCCGCGACGGATCGCGAGTCTTCCAAAAGGAGATTTGCACTTTGGTTCACAACTTGCCGTGCGAGGCACAGCGAGCCGTCCAAAGCCGCGTTGCCGATTCGACAGTAGGCTGTCAGCTACAACCCTCAATTCCTGAACATTGATGTCTGTGATACATGAGCCTTATCTTCAGGGCTGTAGGATTCGTCATCGTAGAGGGACTACCAGATCTTGCTCCGATTAGCGCTCATGGTCCTGCTGCCTCCTGATGTTCCAGCCTGGAAACTGAGATGCCAGGTGCTCCGTGTCACTGAGGATACCTCCATGTAGGATCGAATGATGGGCAGACATTGATTTCGCATTAAATATCAATTGCCCCATGCACAGACAATTGAATTGTATCAAATTCTGGAGCTCAATTTCCTCGTGGAGTTTTTTGAACTCTCGCCTGTCGCCATCTCTCTATCGAAATTCTTGTTAAAGCATACCCCTTGAGGCTGTTCTTGTTTCATTTGAAAATATGACGGACCCATCACCTAGTCCAATTGCCATCATTGGCATGGCATGTCGTCTGCCTGGTGGCTCGGACAACCCTTCCAAGCTCTGGAATATGCTTTCAGAGGGTCGAAGTGGCTGGCGTGAGATCCCCGATGATAGATGGAACAAAGATGCGTTCTATCACCCTGACCCTGAGGCAAAAGAGGCTGTCAACTTCAAGGGCCTTTACTTCTTGGACCAAGATATTACTGCTTTTGACGCACGGTTTTTCAATGTACACCCTCATGAAGCCCACTGCCTCGACCCACAGCAGCGCATCTTGTTGGAGACGACATATGAGGCTCTCGAGAACGCAGGGCAAACCATTGCCGGTATTAAGGGATCCGATACTTCTGTACACGTCGGAGCTTATGCTACTGAGTGAGTTCTTCTTACTTGTTGGAGCGAGAGTGTCCCTTAGGGAACATTTCCGCCCATGCTGGAAGCATATTCGGTCTAACGCGTACACTCATGTAGCTTCGAACGCATGGGCTACAAGGATACGGCAAGAACGCCCAAGGCCCATATGATCGGCACAGGAATCGCAATTCTTTCAAACAGAATATCCTATGTCTTTGACCTTAACGGCCCATCTAGCACAGTTGACACTGGGTGCTCAGGAAGCATGGTAGCCTTGCATCAGGCATGCCATGGGCTCCGAGCAAGAGAATCAAAGATGGCCATCGTTGCCGGTACCCAACTCGTCCTTACCCCTGATCAGATCATCCCCATGAGCAGTGTCGGGTATGTCTTCAACCATTTGTCTGTACTGTCTGTAATTTGAGAAAGAGCTGACGAGGTGGACATAGCATGACCAATCCGGATGGTAAATGCTACGTCTTTGATAGCCGCGGCGTTGGCTATGCAAGAGGCGAAGGTGTTGTGACTCTTATTCTAAAGCGTCTTGATGATGCTATCAGAGACGGCGACCGGGTTCATGCCCTCGTCCGGAACTCTGGGCTGAACCAGGACGGCAAGACAGTCGGTCTCACGCTACCCAATCCCATTGCCCAGGCGAATCTTATGCGCCTCGTATACAAAAACGCCGGGCTAAACCCAGCAGATACTGTATATGTGGAGGCTCACGGAACAGGAACTCAAGCTGGTATGGGATTTCCACTTTATTTTCTTCCTTTCACTTTCATTCCCCTCTTCCTTTCATCACTTGTATCCACCAGAAGCGGACCCTAACAACGAAGCAGGTGATAGCGCAGAGATATCATCCATCGCGGAAGTCTTCTGCCCTGAAGGAGAACGCGAGAACTGTCTTTATGTTGGCTCTATCAAGTCAAATATTGGCCATCTGGAGGCTTCAAGTGGTGTCGCAGGGTTGCTCAAGGCGATTCTGATCTTGAAGCACGGTGCAATTCCGCCCAACATCGACTTCATCAAGCCGAAGCCAACACTACATCTAGAGGAGCGCAAGATCAAGGTATGGAACATTCTTCCCGACTATTTTGACTGTTATTGACCATGACACGAAGGTTGCTACTGAGATGGTTCCACTGCCTGAGTCCAATGGTCCCCGCCGTGTGTCTGTTAACTCGTTTGGCTACGGTGGAACGAATGCCCACGTCATCCTGGAGGCTCCAGCCAGCTACGAGAAAGTGGACAGATCACCGGCTCCAGAGAATGCAAATGGACACACCAATGGGCATATCACGAAAGAAAACGGCACAAACGGGCATGCAGACGTGCAGGAAATCACGTCTCCGGATCATGGCATCAACGGATCAAACGGGACCAACGGAACTCACGGGACTAATGGACACAATGGTATCAACAGCAAGACCAAAGCCCATGTCGAGGAGGTTAACTCTGATACTACCAACGGGAATACGTTGCCCACTCCCAAGCTTTTCGTCTTGTCAGCTCGATCGGAGACATCTTTGCAGGCCATGGTGGCTAATCTAAGAGGATGGGTCTCTTCTCACGAAGATGCCTCTTCACTGTCAAATCTTACTTATACTCTGTCGACCCGCAGATCAGAGCTGCAGTTTCGATTCAGTGTCGCAGCGTCCAGCCATGACGAGGTCATCAGCCTTCTCGGACAGAAGCCCCGCATCACCAAGGCAGCGTCAAACTTCCGCTCCGTATTCCTTTTTACGGGACAGGGAGCCCAGTGGCATGCCATGGGCCGCGAGCTTACCAGGGAGAATCCGATTTTCAGAAAGTCAATGCTCCAGTCGGAGAAGATTCTGAAGGATCTTGGGGCTGACTGGAGTCTAATCGAAGAGCTCTCCAAAGACGAGGATAACTCGCGAGTTGGGCAGGCTGAGATCTCTCAGCCCTCTACGACAGCAATCCAAATTGCCTTGGTAGACCTCCTTAAGAGTTACCAAGTCTTCCCCAATCTTGTCCTCGGACATAGCAGTGGTGAGATAGCCGCTGGTTATGCTGCCGATGCTCTGGACCACGAAACAGCGCTCGAGATATCGTACAGACGCGGTTTCATGTCACAGACATGCGCGCGTGTCATCTCGAGCAGAGGCGCGATGATGGCTGTCGGCTTGGGCGAAGACGATGTCAAGAAATACATTGAGCAGACCAAGACTGGACTCATCTGCGTCGCATGTGTCAACTCCCCTGTCAGCACAACCATTTCTGGAGACGAGACTGCCATCGACGAGCTTAAGCAGATTCTTGACGGGGAGTCCCTATTCAACCGCAAGTTGAAGGTGGATACGGCCTACCACTCTCATCACATGAAGAAGGTAGCAGCCGAATATCTCGAGTCCATCGCGCACATCAAGGCGCGCACTCCGAACCCTGCCATCAAGTTCTACTCTTCTGTTGCAGTTGCACACAAGACATCTGGTTTCGATGCTAAGTATTGGGTTGACAATCTGTTGTCTCCAGTCCGCTTTGGAAACGCCTTGGAGCTCCTTTGTCGCACAGAACTCTCTGGCCTCGAGCCAGCGCCTCTCACTTTGTTCACCGAGGTCGGCCCACATGGTGCCCTGGCAGGTCCAGTTAGACAGACTATCAAGGGGCTTAATTTGACTGGCTTCAAGTCAAGTTACCTATCTACCCTGTCTCGAGGCCGTGATGCTGCGATCACCCTTCTTGAGACAGCTGGCAAGCTGTTCGAGTTCGGGTTTCCGGTCTCGCTACAAGCGACCCTTGGAGAAAATCAATCTGCTACGTTGGTTGATGATCTTGACCCGTATCCCTGGGACCACTCCACGAACTTCCTCTACGAATCGAAGCTCAGCAAGGAGCATCGCTTCCGCGCGCACCCACCACATGACCTTCTCGGCCTTCGTGTCCCGGGAACCACCAACCACGAACCCACTTGGCGCAACCTCCTTGGAGTGGGAAGCCTTCCGTGGCTTAGCGATCACGTTGTCGATGGCTTCGCCATTTTCCCTGCTTCTGGTTATCTCTCTATGGCTGTAGAGGCAGTGCGCCAGATTAGCGTCGACAGAAAGATCCAGGGTGTCATTTCTCAGATTCATCTGAAAAATGTCTCGTTTACCAAGTCAATCATGATCCCTGAACGACGCACTGACGGACTGACATCTGATGTCGAAGTCCTCCTGACATTGCGACCCGCCAAAAGTCTGGCCGACCGTACATGGGAGACATTCCGCATCATGGCTCTATCGCCGGAGGATGTGTGGCACGAGCACTGTGCGGGACATATCATGGTTGAGTGGTCGATTAAGGAAGATGAAGTCGAGGGATTCCGCGAAGAGAAGATGGCAAATTCAAGCGGCCTCGAACATCTTCAGGAAATCATCAATGCTTGCAACACCACGATCAGCGGCGAAGACCTTTACAAGAACTTCACCAAGAACGGCAACGTCTATGGCCCTACTTTTGCCGGCATAGAGTCGGCGCAGATTGGCTCCCGCGGAGGCATCGCAGAGATCAAAATCCCTGATGTGAAGAGCATGATGCCCCGCAAGCATCAGCAGGAGCATGTCATCCACCCAGCCTCGCTCGATACAGTCTTCCAACTGGGGCTTCCACTGTACCGGAGGGATGTTGGTAACGGGCCCGTGATGCCTACAAGCATCGATGATCTGATTATCAACTGTAAACTCAGCAGTACACC